GAAGGCACTTTGTCAGAGGTCTTTTGTCTGCACAGGGTTGGGTGACCTAGTACCGAAAGAGAGATATGAGTGACCTAGTGGATAGAGAAGCAATCAATAAATTCCTGCTGTTGCCAAGCTGTCCTTAGACATAAATTCAATAGACCACACTTGTAAAATGAATCTTTTCTCATCTCCTGAGCTTTGAACTGCAGTTAAATAGGAGATTGATGTTGAATTGAAGGGAATTTTACATAATGCCGTTTTGGAGAGGAGAACGCATTGTGTATGAATTATTATATATCAAATGAGACTGACTTGATTTACAAGAACTATTTGGTTTTTAATGTTATGTTGATAGATCAGATTATTTTTTATTATTTTTTATTATTTCTGTTAATTTCAAGTGGTTTGAGATTTAATGAAAAAACAGTTATTATACCATTTGAGTTAATCAAAGGGGATAAAAGGAGCAGGATCAGACACTGCTCTGTGGTACCAAAGCTCTGTTCATTGTAATTGAAGGCTATTTCACATTTTTGTCAGGTCTCTAAATAGTAGCTTTGGGGTTGTGAATATTCTCAAGGACAAAGATTTCCCTCTAACAAAGAATTTCAGATTGCCTGTACATTCTGCTCTCAAAGAAAGGAAAAATGTGTTTTAAATTGGATTCTGATTGGAGAAAACAACATTGTACTGATTCATTCTTTTTGAAATAATGTTATACTGTAGAGATAAGGGGATGCATATAATAAAATAAAAAAAATATTTAAGCTGTTAGAATTTATATTATTTTATACTGAATGAAAATGTGTTACACTAATGACCCTGTAAACAACATTATACTGATGACCCTGTAATTGGGTCAATTGAGGGTGTACAGTACCCTGAATAACACATAAAGGTGGTGTGGTTTTCATAGCGTTATAGCTGTTAAACATAAAATGAAGTGTACAGACCTCACTTCTGGCTTAATTTCCCAAATTTCCCATAATTCTGTAGCAAAACGTATCATATCGACTTGATGGATTATTCAAGTTTGTTCATTGAATAAACTGCTTAGTTAGATGAATTAAGAAATAACAGGAGATGATTACTGGGGTGTTAAGAAGATGTGAAACAGACAACATTTTCAGTCATTTAGGAACAGCCTGGACACTGATTGAATTTTGAAAAAAACAGACTTACAACCACTGTTGATTGTACATTATGTTTGATGCACAGAACTATTTTTTCACTTTTCTTTTTGATACCTGCATGAAATAGCAAAAGAGATCAACTTCTTAATTCACTGAGGCTGTTTTAGAGATCTACTGCAGAGAGTGTTATCTAACTTTAAACATTCCTTGATGTGATTCACTTAAATTTGTTGATTTTAACCAATTTATTTGGTTTTAAAGTTTACTGACTGATGATTCTCTACATATTTGAATCTCTCTTAAAGTGCTTAGACTGAATTTCAAAATCACCTTTGGATGAAATCACATTTGTATATTATATGTGGATGTTTCATTGAAGATTTGTTTTTGTCAGCCATTACTGGGATTTTTCTTCTCTCAGATCTCTGGATTGCTAATATATATGGATGCTTAGCCTTGCAGTGCAATACAGGTATTGATAAATATGATGTTCCCAAAATGCGATCGCTGCCAATTTGTTCCCCTTGTACAAGGAAAATACAGAAGGGCTATATTCTATTTAATAAATCATTCTGTGGTGTATATTTAGTATATCCTGAAATTCCATTGGAAAGGATTAAAATTAAGGGTGGCACGGTAGTACACTCTTTAACATTGCAGCCTTGCAGTGCTAGAGCCCTGGTCCAATTCCTGGGGTGCTTTCTGCTTGGCATTTGTATGTTCTCCCCATGTTTGCATGATGAGAGCAGGGGAGATTCTTATCTGGCAAATTTAAATGCTTTTGTTGTACACTGCTTATGCAAAAAAAAACAGCATTCTCTTGATACCTGAAATGTGCATGTCTCTAACACTCCACATACTGTATTATGAAACATTGCTTAATAGGATATTGAAAAACAACTGTATGTTGCTATTTGCATAAAGATGCACCTGCACCTGTGGGGTGAAGAGCTCATGCCCTGGGTGGTGACTGTCCTCTGTGATGGCCAGAATTCTACCACGGCAGCGGTCCTCATAGAGCTGTTTAATCTCGGTGAGACCGCAGCCGATGATCTTCTGGACCATTCTCTGCAGTGCCTTTCTTTCTCGCGAAGAGGTGTTGCCATACCACACGGTGATCCCGTTGGTGAGGAAGCAATAATAATTAGCATTCCTTGGTTTGTGTTTTTAGTAATAAAAACGGCTTACGCAGTTAGGTATGATTAATGATGTCTAAGTAACAGTAGCCACTTCATTTGCTTTTTTTTGTAATTACCCACACACTAACGATTTTCATTTTTTAACATCTTTAGGGTCTATGATAAAGTCTAAGTGCACACAATAGAGAACAACACATGAAGTATGATGCAGTGTACTGTATCACACCTGTCAGTTGTGCCACTCAGTAGAGTCTGTGCTAGCCCTCACCCAGATTAGTTAGTGGAAGGTGATGTGTGATGTACACTCAATATGAAACAAGTTGTATGACGCATTCCTCTTCACTCTTACTTTTGGCTGAGGTTTTGACATTTTTCTTCATATCGCTTCTTTGTAGATTCGAAGTTGGTTTCCGTTATTCGAAATGTGGGTAACAATTCACATGGACCATAGTATCTAATTTTTATAAAAATAATGTGTAAAAAGAGGTGTGGGTATATAAGTTATACAACATATTTTGGGGGTTGCTGTAGTTAACATTGGTGCTTCGTAGCACTGGAACCTTAGCAGAGTTTGTGTTTTCTTCCCTTGTTTGCGTGAATTTTCATCTAGGTCCTCCAGTTTCCTCCCATAGTCCAAAAACATACTGGTTAACTAGCTTCTGGGAAAATTGGCCTTGATATGAGTGTGTGTTTGTGTGTGCCCTGGAAGGATGGATGGATTGAAATTTAAGGCTTGTGAGAAATATAACTATATGATCATACAAATGAGCATCTTTAATTTACACCATTACAAGCTGTGTTATCAGTCAGTACATTCCACCCCCAAGTTATAAACGGGTTGCCTAACAAAATTAGGCAACCCGTATATAATTAAGCAATATCAGGCAACCATCACACATAAGCATGAATGTCTGTAACATGTTATTAATGGGGAGACTACTGTCTGTTGCAAATGTATTAGTCCATCTAGATCAGTGATGCTCCTTTCTTTTCCCGGAGGGCCACTGTGTTCCAGGTTTCATAGGTAATTTATACAGAAAATGTACTTTTTCCAATTAGAAAGAGTGGTGATATAGACCAATTAAATGGGTGATTATTGATTCAAATAATGTTATTAAGTGTCCAGAGTGGAATGAAACCAGAATACACAGCAGCACTTCAGGACCTGGAGTGAATATCCTGATGATTATATTGAAAAAAAGGCCACAGTGATGTTTTCAATCATTTGAACAGCACTTTTAAAACCCTGTTTCAAGGTGGGCTGGGAATATAGATGCCAGTTATCTCTTAGTGGGCACGATGACTACAGAAGTAAGAGGAGGCACTATAAATACTAGAAATCCTGTTGAATTCATTGATGTTTATGTTTCACTTAATCTGTTAAATTTCAATGCCTAAACTGAATCACTTTCAGTTACCATATGAAACCAACATCCTGTTTGTTAACACTTAAACCCATTTGCCAGGTGCACCTTTGACAACTTTGTGATGATGAAATGAATGTGATTTGATCTTATTACATGTGGTGAGAGATCAAAAGGTATTATACCAGACAGATCTTTTCTAAAGACAAGAACAGACTGGAACATTCATTAACTCAAAGGGCAACAATTAAAAAAATAAGAAGAGAAAACAATAAAGTTAGATAAAACTGAACAAACTGATTCAAATAGGAAATTTAAAGGACTGTGTTTTAATTGCATTTTAGCACCTTGACACAAAATTGGTGAGAGGAAAAATGTTTTATTTTCTTTATTTTTTTCCTGCTTGAAATCCTTGTTGGTTCGATGTTATATAGATAATGTTAAAAGTTTATTTCAAGTTGGCATATTAAAAAATAGTTGAGTTTAAAACCCTTAAAGGAACAAATGTTTTCCTTATATACTGCAGATTTAATTTAGAAGTCAAAATAACAATTTCCATTTTTCAGTTATGTGTGTTATTAGTGAATGTTATTGAGTGTTTTGTGATTTTTTCCCCTAATTCTTATATCCAACATGATAATTTTTCTTGGCCCACCCAGCCTGTCACATTTCAAAACACACTGGACTGGTTGGCTATGCCGTGTCAGAAATGCTCAGTATGAGCACAAAAACAATATTTAAGAGCACAAAAATCGCAGAAACGGGTTCTTCAGATAATGTTGATGACTTTCTTGTTTAACCTGTTTGGTAAGAAAACATACGTACCAAATTTATCGAAATTTAATTAGCAAAGAGTTACTGTAGACTCTAGCTTAAAGGCTTATGAGTGCAAAGTTCCAAAACTTATTTTATGGAGACAAGTTAAAAACGTGAGAAAAATATTTGGTTTGTCATACTAATGAACTTGTTGTTGTCTGCCTGTTGTACGTTTGCCCTATTTTTTTACATCAGTTGTAAGATTTTAATTAAAATCTTACAAATCTTTACTTTATGGACCGATGGGAAGTGTATTGCTATTAAATACATTTTAAATGAATAAATATTGGAAACTGCATTTCTTGTTGTTGATGTTTTCTCTGCAGTACAAGGACAGAGTAATAAGTATAATAGGAAGAATGATGACAAATTATTCAATGTTGAATAATTTTATTAGATTAATTTTCTTGGGGCAACTTGATAATATCTGTTAAATAACATTTCTTGTTCTTATGGAGTAGTGGTAGGAAAATGAAACCTCTTAATAAAATTATCTGATGTGCTAATTTCTTGTTGTAGAAAGTAATTACATTTTATGTATTATTCTCTCTGTTTCCATACAGGAAAAGTCTGTGTCCTGAAATGTTTGTTAGACATTCACAAGGTCTTCAGGGAGAATGACCCCGCTTACATCCTCAACGATCTCTACATCACAGATTACTGCGTGTGGATTCAAAAGGCCAAGTAAGTCATAAATAACTCACTGATCACCTTCTCTATACAGACAGAAAAAAAGCACAGTGCACTAACCTTAGACCGAGTTTGTCAGTCAGTTTTGATTTGCTTGGTTTTGCTAAATAGATTAGTAACTAGATACCATTTGTGTCATTGCTTGGGGATTTGACTGACAAGAGCTTTCTTAGACCTCACTAGAATGTACCTGTGCTCATTTCCCACTGGTAAAGACACTGATTAATGGGGTCTAGACCATCTGTTGTCCTTTCTTATATAGAAGCTGTCATTTCTGTTTGGATAGCATAACCTTTTTAAAATCTCTAAGATGGATTTTACTTAGACTGTTCTTGTTTTGGAATCTTGAGATCCAAATATTGGTTTATTCCCTCATCATATCACCAGAAGGTTTCTGATGAAGTTTGAGGAGGATTTTTAGGAACGTTTAAGTGCTGTGAGGATACAGCTCAAATATTATTACCTTCATTCTTTTTTATGTTTAAATACCTTCTAATTGTTACATCTTGAAACAGCTTTTAAGCAAATAACTTAGTAATGAGGTACTTTTTCATGTTGGCGAAGATTCAAGTCGGTGGACTGCTGGTGTGTTGAAAGACAGGAATTTAAAACTTTGCACCTGGTATCATAGGCTCTAAGCCCAGATGGAGATATTTTAAAGATTTGCAAGTTTCAGTCTATGCTGCTTTTAATACTATGATTACCACTGAGCCTTGGTGGTACATTTCTATATTTTTTTAAAGGAAACATATCAACTGGTAATTAATAATAATAATTTAATAATTGCTTACACTTATATAGCGCTTTTCTGGACACTCTACTCAAAGCGCTTTACAGGTAATGGGGACTCCCCTCCACCACCACCTATGTGCAGCATCCACCTGGATGATGCGACAGCAGCCATAGTGCGCCAGAACGCTCACCACACATCAGCTGTCAGTGGGGAAGAGAGTAGAGTAATGGAGCTAATTCCTAAATTATAGACAGCAGATTCATTTGAGTGCCTTTATTGTATTGAGAAACAGTGGACGCAGAATTAAAAAAGGTTCCATGTATAGCAAGTTATAACTTTTTGCAGACAGTACACAACATTATGACTCATTTGTGAAGCTGGTAGGTCAGCTAAAGTGATGAAATACCAGACAGATACTTGAGGGTAAACATGTAGTTTGCCATCTGGCTTAGCTGCATTTTAAAAAGTAATGTCAGTCACGCCTGCTATGTTCACTCCTGCCTGTTCTGTAAGTTGACACATTTAATTTTATGTTGTAATTGATCATTTAAAAATTATAATTCCCTCCGTCCCCAGCTTAGGGTTCAGGTATCAAAAACTTCTCATTGGCAGAGCTCTGGAGTAGTACTGTCAACCCAAATGTTCACAGGCCTACAAGATTTGTCTGGATGCAAGATTTCTCTCTTTGCAGACGAGGAGACAGAAGCACAGCTTGCAGTTACTTTAAAGGAATGTTTCATTAAATGTTTCGAAACCAATGTAAATTTTAACAGGAAAGGCCAGGCAATTTGTAAGACCTATGTTACATTCACCAATGTCGTATTACCTTTTTCTGAAAACAAGCAGGTTAAGCCAGTGCTGTTTGTATTGGTTGTTGGACCAGTCTTTATTTATGGGTTTTCGTTTGTGTTTATGGATGTCTATTAAATGTCTTTTAAAAGCTTTTGAAGACTGTAATTTATTCATTATCTTCACCTGAAAGAGTAAAGGCCATATTTTAGGATTTTAAAAACTCTGGGAAGAAATATGCAAAAATAATCTGTTTTTGAATCCTGACATTTGTGCATTCTGTCAGATATTTCAAATTTCACTGGTGCTCAAAGATTTTCTTTTCTTTTCTTTTTTGGGCTCAGGGGAAAATAGCATTCAATGTTTTTTCACTCTGAAACTTTGTTTATCTGAGCCTATTTTTAGGCAAGTAATGTATACTGCCAGAGCAGTCTAGTGACAGAACTGTTATAACTCAAGTTTTTATTTAAGAGGTAGAAGGGTATCTGTGAGGGAATAATGCCAAGCTTATTATGTCAAATTATGCCAAGCCAGTGTTGAAACACCATCAAAATAATTTATCTAAAGAACATTTTTGGTTCACTTTCCGATATTTAAATTCAACCTAAAAGAAAAAAAATAAAAGTAGTGATTATCAAAAATATCTAAACAAAAGTCAATGTATAATATACATACAGTAAGTATGGTATAGTATACTCACTATGCTAATGTTAGATGGTACATTATTTTTGATCCAGGTAACAAGTACATTCCTCTAGAAGCACGGCTTGTAGCTGTGATCTGTGTATGTGATGCAGAAGTAGGTATTGAATATCCCATGCTGTATTACATGCAGATTTACACACCATAGCATGTATGGTCTCCATCCAAGCTATTTTTTATCAAGAGTTCCACATAAGTTCCTCTCCCAAGATTGTAGGACTGCCTGCATGTTGCTTATACTGTTTGGAAGTGACTAAATGGTCGCACCAACAACCCAAGAGGGAACGTGACATTAGAGTCTTAAATACTCTATGCAATCCGCACAGTTGCACTTCAATGTTCTGACATTTACTGTAGATCAAAATTCAGTTTACATTTTCAACTTAAGTGAAACCTTGATGCTTAGACAGGACAACATTGCAGGTGACTGTCTGAAAGGGGACATCCACTGAGGCAGCCAAGATGCCAGAGTTGCTCTAGTGTCTTCTGCACTCTGTCGTGAATGCTCTTAAGCTTCCTCTTTTGTCCCCTGATCTTTGTTTTGCTTGTGCTCTTAAAGAAGTCTTCTGAGTAACCTCAGCCAGTGACTTCAAGAATTTTGAATAAAGAGTGTTATGCAGTACTGGTGATGGTACTGCTTTATGATACACATAGTAGATCATTAGAAACTAGAAAACTGATTTTTGTTATCCCAAGTATCTGAAAACTTCTTCAGTACATCAGGCTCTTACACATGTCAGGATCCATGGTAATGCATGTCAATAACCTGGCAGGGAGCTTATTCAAGATACCTACAGCCTTTTGTTTAAAGAAATGCCTCCTATTTACATATCACAAATTGCTTTCCAGTTTCTTTTACATAATCTATTTTTTACTTAATCCTTGTGTGAAATTATGTTATTTTTGGAATTTTTCAGATATGTAAGTGGTGGTTTCCTTAAAGAACAAGTATTGTCTCCTTCATTAAAGCCATTTACATCAGCCCCATTTTGTGATGTGTTCCAGTCATGTAGCACTCCTTTTAGATTTATTTATCTTGAGCAAGAAACAATCACAAACCTGAGAGGTTCTATCAATCCTGCTTTTTCATGCATGTAGCAAACATATTACAGAATAATCTGCAGGGACAGAAACCTACAGTATAGTTGATGTCTTGCTAAGTAGGAATTATAGATGTCAGCTAATTATTTTTCTCTATGCTTATTTGATGCCCATTGAAAAGCAAATGCTGGGTGTAGATTTAGTTAAATTCTCTGTGGTGTCTCATTTTTTCAGGTGCTTTTTAGAAACAAAGCTGATATGAATAGTACTAGAAGCAGATCATTAATGTTTCCTGGCACTATAATAACCGTATATTGTTGGAGCTCTGTTTTAATAGGTGTTTTATGAAATCTTATCTCTGCCTCTATTTTTAGTGTGCTTTTTGTCTGCATGTATCAGCTTGATCATTCTTCATCTCCAGAACTCTACAGTAATGCCCTGTTCTTGACACTGTTGTTTTTAAAATCATATGCAGTGTCATTATATTCCAAGTTGTTTAGATCTCACTATAGTGCATGCAAAATTATGTTTAGGAATAAGCCTTTTGAACTAAAAAAGTTTAATTTTTTATGAAAATGAAGATTGTCCCTCGCTGTTTTTAAACGTTTCAAAACTTTGTGTTGCCATAGAGATTTAATATTAATTCTTGGGAATTTGTAACCTAAATATATATTTTAGGAAAGAGCTTTGAATCAGTTATAATACAGTGACCTTAGTCCATAACATATAAATGTAAACTGTAGTTGTTTGTCGTATTGTTAATAATTTGTCATTAAAACAATATAATTTGAAAAAATGATACAACAGCTGCTTTTAACAATAGTGAATGCTGCAAATAATCCCAAAATATTCGTTTTAAAATATAATTTTAATATATAAATAATATTATTAATAAATACATAATTTAATTTGCTTTCTTTCAAATGTATTTGTATAGGCAGTACTGCAGCAATATATCAGGCATAGTTTGGCTCTTAATTGTATGTTTTGGCAACTGTACTGTAATGCAGGTTATATCTTGAACAACTGCAGAGATGCCCATTTTTGTATTAATCATTGTGTTAATCATTCTTTCAAAGTAGTATTCTTTAAAGTAATTGTTCAACATTCCTCTATCTGATTTGTTATTTGATCTGGTTTAATCACCAAATATTGTTATGATCTGTACCTGACAATTTTACTGATTTAAGATGGAATTATAGTGAGTGGATGGCAAGTTCCATTCTGTGATACCTATTTCCTGTCTATTTGACATAATAGGCAGTAATATTAGAGAAGAAATACCTTTATCTAATGATTTATGTTGTCTGTCAACTGTGTGCTGCAGGCATTTATGCTTTTTCATTCTAACTGTTCGCTAAGATGTCCTTCTCAAATTTACTGCTTAATAAATTCGTCAGAATGATTTAAAAGCTACAATAGCTTGACTTGCAAAAATAATAGTGACTAGCATGAGAGAAAAACACGAGTGCAGCATTCTTTTCCTGTTGTATGTCTTGGCCTAGTCTGTCTGAAGGAAAAGGCTCAATTACTCTAAAGGAGTGAAGCACACAATTGAGCTTGACTTACCATGTTAACAAATCACCTGAACCTTCCAGACTAATTGCCAGTAACGGCCTGAGGTGGAGAAGTAAATGGATTTCTGTTAATCAAGTCTCTTAATTCCATGTGCCTAGTGCCGTGGACCATTTTCTGAATTCACATTCAGATTTCTGAAACACTCTACAGT